AACTAGGGAACGAAGCAGAATTATTTTTCTCCACAGTATCTAGGCATTTGCAGCTTTGGGGAAGAGAAGGAGAAACTGACTAGCTTGAGACTTGTCAGATGCCAATCTCTAAAAGGCTGAATATAGGGTGGATGCACCCTACCAGACATAAGCAAAAACCTTTGCTCCTTGCTTGAAGTGCCTACCTGTGACTGATAACTTTGCCTGCTAGCTGTCTGATAGAATTTTCAAACCCCTCCTACATTTTCTACAGTATGTCAAGAGCTGATATGCTGAAAGCTATAATCCATCCCAGGAAATAGTTGCCTTTCTGATTTCATGAAGCGACACAAAACCTGACTATAAGTACTGTAAGTGCTCAAGATGAGGGATGCCACAAGAATGCCTGTGCCTGTATTATGTCTGCCTGCAGTAGACTGAAATAGATGATTACTAATGGTTAAAGAGGAAAAAAAAAATGAAAATAATAATAAAAAAAGATTATTTTCTCACTTCTCATGGAGAAATGCAGCAACAAAAATATATAAAAACTTCATAAATTGAATTAGGTTAATGATATGGTACCAGACTGTGAATTTTAGAACCTATTTGCAGAAAATTAACTTATCTTGCTGGAATAGCAAAGATGGATTCATTCAAAAGCATCTTTCCAGATGCTTTATGTTTTCTGTCTCTTTCCCAGGGAAACATTTCCTCTAGAAGACATAATAAGAAATACTGATGGATGGCTGGAACATATGTAGTTACTCAATTAATCTTGCAGTTCATATGTATCTTCTGTCGATCATGAAATCTTCACCTCTTCCTGAGCAGATAGAACTGCTTTTGCAGACACATGTCCCTGTAGTATTCAGACTGTGATTATTTTAATGATTTTTCTTACAATTCTGTAATATAGAATATTAGCCTCTGATTACATTTGTGTGAAAATGGCCTTAGTTTTCTCTAATGGTCTCAGATAAAATTCGATAAATTTATTTCTCAATGAAATCAATGTAAGACATCAGTTAGTTCTAAGATTTTATTATTGCGTTCACCAGAAAGTTGTGCCTCGGGGCACTGTCTTTATAAGATGCAAGCTGGCAGGCTTGAATGTTCTTTTTTTGCTCTATTTGTTCACCTGGGGGAGTCACAGTATTATTACTTTTCTTTGGAAGTGGCTAAAGGTTGTAAGTATAATGAGCTTAGGTTGTCTGTGGTCTTTTCTAAAACTACTGTTGTGCCAAATTTGCACACACCTGTTTGACTGATTCCAGAAATATTACTGCAGAGAGCAGTAAAACCCTGCTGATTCCATAGGAAATATCTTTATTTTGGAGACAGATATATGTGTGTTTTATATTGCTGCAGGTTTTTATTGCTTTAAGGGTTGGCAGATCAGTAGCACAGGAGCAGGGTCCAGCAGGAAACCAATTGCACTGCCATTTGCTGGCTTGCTTTGCATTTCACCTTTCTCACTTGGTTCTTAGGTTCATCAGCATTCCCAGCACTGTCAGAAGTCTGTTATAGCCAGGGAAGAAGTATTTAGAGCACACACTTCATAAAACATGCCTCAAAATATTCTGCTGGAGTTGCCAGTGCTTTTGAAGACCAAATGCTTTGAAATGACTGGTGTATACAGATGCACACATACTCCTTTGCTGTCTGAGCAGTCACAACTCCAAGCATTTCAGCGTACACTAGATGTGTAGTGTTGCAGCTGCATGTCTAATTCCTGTTGTTCTAACTAACTCTGCATTTTTATCCAGCTGCCTTTGTCCTATTTCTCTTCACACTGTGAGTTTGGACTCCTACAAGTGGCTGGTCAGAAGCTTTTTACACTGTAGGTAAAGCCTACGCTGCACACTGCAACAGCATGTAGGGGTACTTGAGGCAACACCAAGAGTGCTCATCTGTACAGTTAGTTCTCTAGAGAGAAAATCGACCCCAGCTTCAGAACCATAAGAGCTTCAAGCACAGACAAACTGAAAGTTTTGCTTCTCTGAAGATCTGCTGGCTGAGGCTGGGTGCTGTGAGGTTTCTCTGTAGGTGAATCAGAGGGCCCTGTGCTGTGGTCTGGGGAGTAGTGACAGGATGGTGCTTGCAGCAATATTCCTAGTGCTGCCTGCATTGAAATTCATTTATGTTCCAGAGGCAGAGAACAATACTTACGCTGTTTCTTGAAATGTTTCATACTTTTCCTGAAAACGTGTCCTCTCCTCTGGCCTCTCAAAAAGAATACTGGAAACTTTCCCATCCCCTGTTTGTCTCCACCATTTTATTTTGGTTTTTCCAGTTCACCATAGAAAATTAATTGCTATGATCTCTCTCACCTGGGTGAAACTGAGAAAAATGAAACATGGACTCAGAGCTGTAAACAGCATGGCAGCCTTCTGCAGGTCCATTGTGCAGGTCTATTTTCACCTCAGGAGCTATGAATTTATCATCACTGATAGTGGGCAAACATGGGTGTGAAATGCCTGCTCATTTAGGTCACTGCCAAGGACAGCACTCTTCAACAGAAACATAAGTCAGTGTTGGGATCCTTAGTAATGTATAGACAGAGGTATAGTGCCCATCATCAGGATGCTGTAAAAGAAACCTCTCACTCAGCATTTATCTGAAACCATTTCTGATGGGAAGACTGAGATTATTAGGAATAAACAACTGCTAAAGGAAATAGCACTTCTCTTACTGCACTGAGTTATTGAGACTTGCAAAGGTAAAGAAATGGAAACACCAATTTAATACGCTCAGCTTTTAAAGACGGTGGTTTGTTGTGATCATAATTATATGGTTTTAAACTGGTGTGCACAATGGGGCTCTAAACATGCCATGTTTAGCATGATACTCAGAGGCCAAACTTAAATATTTTAAAGCTGTAGGAAGAATTAAACTTGAAACTCAGATTTGCTTCCTTGTTTTGTAGATTGCGTAAATTTCCACAGATGTTGAAGAAGTGTCAAAAAAAAAAAAAAAAAAAAAAGAAGTATCTCCCTTAAATATTGAGTTTTTCCCATTCTCAACTACTCAGATATATCAGAAATAGAATGAAGGAAAGAATATGTAGCATTCTATCAGCTGTTGTAGCTGGCTGTTTTGTACACTGTGCTTCTGTACAAATGGAGGAAAGTCAGGGAAACTTGTTTTGACTGGTTTGTGTGTGTCACGTCAGGCCAAAAGTCTGCCTACAAATGTGTAAAACATTGATTCCACTCAACAATTCCTGGCCATTTACAAATGGTAGATGGCTAACAACTGCAGTACTGCATTCTCTTATTTTGGAAAAGCTGCTGATACTTTCACATTTTGTGCTGTTTCATTTTGGCTGCACCTGTCCTGTTCTCTGAAAGGTGATTTTTTTTTTTAATCTAAAAGAATATATGTGTGTATATGGTGCACGTATATATAGCAAATGGGAAAGTAGGTATGCAAAGTGTAGGTTATGAATAGTGTAATTATGAATCACTGGGAAATTAGTCACGTTTTTTTTAATCCTCAATGCCTTTGATTTCTTGAAAGTGTTACGAAAAGGTGCATGTGCCATTATCATTAGTGTGCCATTTTTCTGCATTTCATAAATTAGTAAAAGAAGAGACTGCTTTAGAGCCAGAACAATGTTGTATTTCTTGTTATATACTTCTGTATATGAGCATATGAAAGAAACAGGTGAAGCAAATAAGCTACTGCATCAGTGGGAGAAAAGTGCTGAAATCTAAGCTGTAGTTGAAGCAGTGGAAATAAAGTATAGCCATGGTTATATGGTGTTGGAAAGTGCAGTCAGGTATGTAAAAAAGGAAATAATACGAAGTGGAATAATTCCTGAGTTAACCACTTGGGAGACTTCCAGAGATGAGGAGCTGCAGGATACGCCACTGCCAGGTGTGACGGCAGGGCAGTAAGAAGGGGTGACACAAAGAGTGAAGTGGTTCTGGAAGGGTTTAAGTGAATGACCAAGAGGTACGGAGTGAAATGTTGCATTGTGCTGCACATGATGAGGTAAAGACTTTGAGAAGGTTTTTTTTTTTTTTCACTTTTAAGAGGGAAGTACCAGTATCAACATGTGGTTTCACACAGAATTGCCACTCGCTGAGCACAAGGTCCATGCTGCGCAATTGTTTTTTTATTCCCGTAATTTAATAATGTCTTTATTTGGGAATACAATTGATTCTTTAGGGGGAAAAAAATCGTGAATCCATTAAGTTAAACTTTCAATAGACTTTAAAAGGCTTTATTAAACTCTAAATATCCTATTAAAGTGATCGTCTTAATAATGAAAGGACAATAAAAATGATAACGTGCCTATATCACATTCATCTGCAAAATCAACAGCCTTAGTCCTGAGTACAAATGCATGTGTGAAGTCTCTTTAGCTGGAGGCACACTCAGGCACAGGAGCTCACAGGCTCATCACAGCAGGAGAATCACTCTTGCTCTGAGAACAAGATGCTGTGTGTTTCACAGACACTTCTCACTCCTCTCTGGCTCAGATTAGGAAACTCCCTGTGAGTCACTTGGCCTAGTCTTGTCTTTGTGATTTGGAGTTACTAAAGTGTGATGAAAAGAAAAGTCACTTCCCCCTTCCTAAATTGCAAACTTTTACACCTTTTCCAAGCAATGTTGCAAATTTTTCTATTTTGAAAGACTAAAAGGTAAAGAAAAGTGTTTAGTTCTCATGGAAATGAGCGATGCATTGGGGGTGCAAAGGAGGAAAACTTGAGCTTTCATCCTCCTTCCCCCTCCTCAACCTGGTTTCTTTTTCCTTGAAAAAGGGAAGAACTCACTTTGGTGAAATAACTAATTTGGAATATCAATTATCCATCAAAGAGAGCTGGACTTACTGAGCTGTCAAGAGGCTTGTCACTGCCACATGCAGGCCTTCAGAAGTTAAATCTGAGGAGGGAAGATATTAGAAATCTTTTCCTATATGACACACTGTCTCTCTTGCTAAAACAGCTCCTAATTATTTCTTCTCTCCTCCCCACCCCTCTTTTTATTTTTTTTCTTTTTTTAATATGCAGCACCAAGGAAAAATTGGAGTAAAATTTAATGTTGGCACAGATGACATCGCTATCGAAGAAATCAACGCCATCATTAATGATGGAAAATACCACGTAGTACGTTTCACGAGGAGCGGTGGCAATGCCACATTACAGGTGGACAACTGGCCAGTTATCGAACGCTACCCAGCAGGTAAGGCTTTGCACGAACTTCTGTGAGTAAAAGGGGGATCTGTGGAGTTCTGATCGGTTTGCTCCCTCTTTTAATGCAGCGTAAGCTCTTTCTCAGTGTTTTAGTAGCTAATTAAGTAGTTAAAGAGTCTGGAGCAATATGCAGATCGTGATGATGGCATTTCCTAATGAATTTAAAGGCAGAAATTCAGGTTATTGCTGGAAATGAAAGATACAGTTATCAGGGCATGAAATAGTGAGTTTGCTTCTTGTTTTCATTTGTTTATATTGGATTATTGTTTTAGGGAGGGGGGAAAGGCTTTGACAAAAGCTGCACAGTAAAGTGACTCTCAAATCGATCTCCAAATGATTGGGTAAAACATTTCTGAAGAAAAGTTGTCCATGTTCTTTTAATTACAAGAGGTTATTAAAGCTCTCTGAAATTGTGAATATAGTGGAAGTGTGAAAAAAAAAAAAAAAAACAACCATAAATGAAAACGTGCATCAGTTATTATTTGTACAACCAACCAGGCTTCACATAAAATGTAAGCCGTGTAATATTATAAAGGTTGCTCCAAAAGTAATGCCTCCTGTTTATTTCCATGGAAACTTCAAGAGATACAAAGAGAACAGTAACACTATTTGATAGAGGAAATTCTCAGCTACGAAACACTGTTATTTACTGTAGTCACAATCATTTGCTGTGCTTTCTGCTAGCAAAGGACAAGACCCTACATGCTGCCCTCGTACAAACCTGCACCTGTGGAGGTTATGCTGCCACTGTCACCACCGCTGAAATCCACCACCCATTGCCTTACTGTACTCACAGACACTGTCAGTGGGTTCTTCACATGCACTTCCATGTCAGACAGACACCATTGTGTCAGACTGCCCCTCTGCTACCATCTTTCCTACAGCAACAACTGTAATGGAATATTGGTGGGAAGGTTCAACCTCTGCTGCCAGTCTACCAACATCCACCCCTGAAGCTGTGGGCCAGCCTAATAAAGCAGGAAGCATTACTTTCAGAGCAGCCCTCTTTTTTCTGTGATTAATGCTGGTTACTTCAGCAGAACCACTTGTATGAATACAGCATTTCCTTGGTAGAGCCCATATTTAATTTTATGCAAATGCCATATCCTGCACATTACTGTATTACTAATTTTATTCATTTTTAAAGGCAACAGTCTTTTTCAGATATGCAGTCCATTTCTTATTGAATAGCATCACTGTGCCATTAAGGTTTACATGCAAGTCTGCGTGTTACCTCTTAATGGTGTGTGTGTTTATATTACTAAACAAAAAGCAGTGAATCCAGAGATATAAGAGAAAGGTATTATAGTTTGCCTGTTTTCTATTACCTAAATGATAGTTCTGATTCTAAATGAAAGTTTTCTTCATTTTGGGGGTGGAATAGCATGTTGAGTAAGCCATTCCCCCATAGCAGTCATTAATATTTAGAATTTGTTTTTTTGTTGGTGTTTTGGTAGCAGTCCAGCAGTAAAACTGCATTGTAAAAATGAAGTCAAATACAAAAATATTCCAAAATTGAAATATCACCTTTCAAATAATTTCTTGGAAATAATTAAGAATCTTAAAAATGAAAATATATATTGCAAGTGAAATAATAAGTATCAGGAATTGTTTTGTATATATATAAAAATATACCTATCTATCTATCTAAATGTCCTGTATGAATGAGTGACCATAATGATTCATGGCCTCAAGATAGACATATCTCTGAGAGGGGGAAGAGGGAACACTGAATGAAATATGTCCCGTGTTCTTTCAGATATTCCTGTTTCTCTCTTACTATCCCTTTTGCGTTCTGACTTTTACATTGTTTAGTAAATGGTACTTGAAATAAGATGGTAGAAACCAGAGATAAGTCCGTCTTAGTTTGTGCTCAAACTGTATTTAGCAGAACTGATATATATTACATACATGATAGATATGAAAATATTTACTGTTTCTGTTCTGTTTCTTCATGAAAATACAAAATGGCTGAAAACAAGGAAGAAATGCAGTTGAGTTCTGAGGATATTGACCCACAGGATTTGTTTTTTCTCAACTTAGATCAATACAGAAAATAGGGTGATTTCCTTGGGATGGGAAATAGAACGATTTTCATGGGATGGGGTTAATAGATTGCAGGGAGGTTGGATTATTTCTGTGGAAAAATAAATAATAGTAGTTTCTTTGAGCAATCTGTGTACAGCCAACACTTGAAGGCATTCTCAGTTGCTTCAGCAGATGGGATACAGAATCTATTGGGTTGCTCTATTGAGGGATCTTCCAGGACTGCTGTTGCTTTTCAGTTTTCTTAGTTTCTTTAATGTTCATTTCCCTAGTAATGTTTTACAACTCTTGTATTCTTAGGCATTGCTTGTGAAGTCTTTCTCCTCCCTTTTCCATCCCTTCTCCCCCCTTCCATCATGAAAGCATCTAACCGTATTTTATCTTGCCATGATGCTCCGTCATCCTGGGGCAGTCTTCACTCAAACCCTTTTTAAATGCTAGTTCCTTCGCAGACTGTTATTTCATAGAAAAGACAGGCCTGTCCAGGAGAATAAACTGCATTTGAGCAATGTTGATTGGCACCATATTAAAGACTATCACCGTCATTTCAGTTCTAAAGATAATATTTCTAAAAGTGATGTCCTAATGAAGTAAAACAACACAGTTCGCCAAATGCTGATATGCCCAATTTACACATCACACTGCTGTTGCTGTTCTAGGGACTAACAATACTGCTTGGCAGTAGTGATTAACTAGCTACATTTCTCATTGCTACTGTTTTTGATGGAAGACATTTTGAAAACGTACAGTATGGATCAAATTTGTTGGCATGTGCATGAGTGAGGGCTCATTAGCTTTCAGTTCAGTGCTAGAAAGTATATTCTTTTTCTGCTTTCTGCCAATTTACAGAATTTCTTCTTTCTGTATAACTTTTAATGTCTCCACTACTGTATGTGAGCACAGGCTTCTCTCTCCAACTTCTGTTGTTGTTTTCATGGGTTTTTTGTTTTGTTTTGTTTTGTTTTTCCCCAGGAATAGAAACAAAATTAGCAGCTTAATTACTATGTTTGCTATTCTTAAATACACTGGATTTCCTTTTTTAAAACAAACAAAAAATCAGTTGGTTGCCTAAAGCATTGCAGCTGATCACTTCTCCTTTCTTTACTTGGAATTATTATACTTCTGGTTGGATTGTCTGAATACATTGCTTATTATTGATCAGCATCTAAAAATACAGGGTGAAGATGTCCTAAGAGGAATTTCTACTCACAGCTTCAGGTTTTTCCAGTTGTGTTGCCCAGGTAGCTTTCATCCTGCCCACCTAACTTCTGCAGATGATGGCACAGGGATGGTCTCATATCCAAGTAACAGTTGGTGTTGTGTCAGAAGCAGTGTAAGTAGGAATAGGTATTGTGGGAGGAGTATGGGGATGCTGTTGGACTGTGTGGTGATGGTGTCAGGACTGCCACAGCCCAACTTGAACTAGACTTGGCAGAGGGTGCAAAGAAGAACAAGAAAGGCTTCTACAGGTACATCAGCCAGAAAAGTTCACCTTTTTAGTCTCAGAAGGCGAACTCCTCTATTGGGCAATACAGGCACACTGATAAAAAATGACAAGGAGAAAGCAGAGGTACAGCAATATTTTGCCTCAGTATTCACTGAGCAACTAGTTTTCACATAGTCCTTAAGCAGATTATTTGGAAGGTGGGGACTAGGAGAGAAGTGTCCCTTCCACCGTAAGTGAAGATCAGTTTTGCAACCACCTGAGGACCCGGAGCATAGATAATTTTATGAGTCCTGATGAGATGCATCCCAGGGTCCTGAGGGAATTGACTGACATAGTCGCCAAGTCACTTTCAGTGATATCTGAAAAGTCATGGCAGTCACAACTGGAGAAGTCTTTGGGGAGATGGGAGAGCTACCTTTCAGTATTTAAAGGAGGGCTATAAGAAAGAAGGAGACAGTGTTCTTCAGACAGGGTCTGTTGTGATAGGACAGGGAAATGGTTTCAAACTAAAAGAGGGGAGATTTAAATTGCATATAAGGAGGAAGTTTTTTTCCAATAGTGGTGGTGAGCACTGGCACAGGTTGCCTAGAGAGGTTCTATTCCCAGAGACAGTCAAGGTCAGATTGAACCAAGTTCTGAGCAACCGAATATAGCTGTAGTTGTCCTTCATTGCAGAAGAGTTGGACTAGATGGCTTTTCAAGTTTCCTTCCAAATCAGAGAGTTCTGTTACTCTCTGAATAGATGAAGATCTCCAGTGTTACCACATGGCTGGATGATTTTCAGAACGAAGGGCTTAGATTTCAGCATGTACTTACATTCTTCTGGATTCCCATCGAAGTTTTTTTTGACTGCAGAGCTCCACCCTTGCCATTTCTTTGAGTGCAGGGCTAAAGCTGTGAAGATGTGCACTTAAATTTTGGTGACCCTGCACGTAGTGGGAGGGATTGAAACTAGATGATCACTGTGGTCCTTTTCAACCCAGACCATTGTATGATTCTGCCTTTTATTAAATGTTCATCCTGCTTTCTCCCTTTCTCATTCTGTCAGTTGCTGACAGGTAGCCTTATGATTAGAAATTGTAGTTTTTTTGGCTAGACAACTAAAATGCCCAGCTCTCTACTGGATTTGTATATTCCATCTTTCTTAACTAAACTTGATATTATCTCTCTTGACCTAATGTTCACCATTCTCCACCTTCCTGAATAACTCCATTATTTCACCTTGGCTGGTTTTTCAGATAATGATTTCCCATTAACTGGGATGCATCATAATTTCCAATCATATTAAGTAGGAATAAGAAAACTGCTGACTGTGTATTCAAAGCTCCTGATCAATAGACTAAAACAATTTCCGTGCAAATCCTCTCTGCTCCTGATAGCTTATCTTCTGTGCTTCAAAACTTTGTTGTATCTGGCTGTCCTGACTACCTGTCTGCTGTTGTGACTGTAATACTGTACCATTGTAGCAACTCCAGCTGCTACTGTGAACTGGCTGC